CTTCTGTAGTGCACTGCTTTTACGCGACCATGCGCAAGAGATGCGCGTCTCTGGTGCGCAGGGTACAGGGGAGTAACAATAGTATCCTGAAAGTGATTGCTAGCAGGCTGGACTGCCTATACAAGTGCCATTGTAGCTCCATATCGGGTGGATTGGTGAGAAAATGGCACATATAAATATAAATGTATTTTTTTATACTTCACATAATTATATGTAATAATAATATTATGCTTACTAACATAGCTATAAGTTTAGTTTATAAGTAATACTAACAAAATATGAGCCTTGGTTGCTTGAATAAATGAAATGAAATGAAAATAAATCTACTTGCAAGCGTTATGTTTTTGAGACACTGTATATTTATTTCCAATTATAGTAAATAGAAAGCTTGTCAAAATGTTTTTGGCAACAAACAAAGAAACATTACGTTATATTAGTACTCACTTTAGTTTGGTTGTCTGTTTCTCTAAAATAAGTCCAAATAGTATAGCTCCTCCCACACATTTTTATCATACAATTATTAATTTTCATTGAGAATAACACAACGAAATACTTTTTTCTCACAAAAATAGTCAAAACTTAAGCATGTGCCGGACATTTGCTCAGTACTAGATGAAGAACGAGGGGCAGGGTCCACCGCTATTCCCGCGGGCTTAAGGCCATACCCCTAGCGAACGACCTTGAGCGTTTGGTCCGCCGACTCTCGCTACAATATATCGCGTAAGAAATCTGCAAGACGCCACCTACTGGTACGAACGTAGTATTATTTTTTCAATGTTAATGAACTATTTTATGGAAATAGACACGGCAGATAATGATAAATGTATTTTAATTTTCTTTATTCGGTATATTAGTTGCATTATATTAGAATTATGTATTCTCATATATTATCTAATTAATAAAAATGACTATTTTGATTATTTTTAACTATATACTATACTGCTAATATTGAATTAGCTTTTTATAGTGTAAATTATAATATTTGTCGAAATGTTAATTATGGATTCGAACTTTACATGCTAATGGTGCTTCATTGTTGTTATTTTCATTTAATTACATATTGAAAATATACTTGAATAGTAGGTATTATTATTTTATTTAGCTACTGCAATATATATATATATATATATATATATATATATATATATATATATATATATATAGAGAGAGAGAGAGAGAGAAACTAAATAGATATTTTTTACCCAATTACAATAACTAATGAGGTATTGTGATTATTTGTAATTAGTAATTAATGCTCTCTGTGTTATACATTACTCTACATACTGAGTTAGCTCAGTCGTACGGGCTTTAATTATACTATACATGTCTATATAAACAAAGCGTACGGGTAACACACGTGATGTCTGATAGATAGCTCGTGGTTTGCTGCGAAACGAGCAAGGTCAATCGCGTCGTATTCGGCCTTAACGTCGGTTATGGGTCCGAAGTGTGGAGTGTGTCAGCGAGGGTCGCGTTACTCTAAAGTTTAGAGAGGCTCAGAGTTTTATCACATTACTTTATGACGAAAGAATTATTAATTCTTTTTCTACCCTTCATCATCAGCCCGTAAAAGTCTACTGCAAGACATGGACGTCTCCCACTTCAGGAGTGAGTTGTTATAATTTTCACGGTTTGCAGACAAATTGACGATCGTAATACAAATAGATCTCGCATCTTTCATGTTGTTGGTCAGTGTGAGTACAACTAGCCAGTCTGGGTACAAATAACTGTACCCAGACTGGCTAGTCTGGGTATTTTATGTTTGGCTCTGACGTAACCGATTTGTTTATAGCGCCATATATCGAAAGCCGTTACATTTTTTCTGGTGTTTCTCGTAGTTGTCTCTTACTACACTTGCAGGAGGTGTGATGGTGCACGTACATGAGTAATGGATTCATTTACGTCGCTACTGCACAGCAAACTAAGTGTCGTTCCCTCCTTATTTTTTTTTTTGTAAATAGGAGTAATTGTTAACCCATTTTTAGTTTCTTTTTTTACATTATGCTACTGCATATCTACGTTACTTAGTTTCATTTAAATATAATATTGAACGGACACGACATCCTCCGTGTTGAAATATTGCATGCAGTTAATCGGTTTAATGACGAAACTACTCCGTATACTAAAATTATCAATACTATTATATTGTTTAGGTTGAAACAGTGATGTAGTTTATAAAATATAATCGATAGTCCCAAGAAATAAAACTTCAAAATAATTTGAAATTAAGGATAAACAATTTTATCAACTTAACTGAGGGAACATTTGCATGGCCGTCATTTCAATTCAGTTTTACTTAGTTGCTCAAAGTATAACAGTAATTCATAGTGAATTACTGTTATACTTTGAGTAACTTTAGATATTATATTTTTCGAAAATGGCTCTTAAAATTAGTTACATTAAGTACTATAAAATACGCTCACGCCAACCGCATATATTATTTATCAGACTCAGTGAAATGCGACAGCAGGTCGGCCCGCCTCTTTCCCCGTATTACTCCCACAACACTTGGTCTTCACAAGTACATTTGTTTCCCAACTGTAAGACCTTTAAGCTGTGGTCAAACGTATCCATTGACACTCTTATATATTCAATTCGCTCGCAATTTTACATACAGAAATTCTCCTTCATTTTTTCTGGTCAAATTGATTTTAATTTTTCTACTTTTCACTTATATAATTTGCTATTTAAGGTAAGAAATTTCTATTAAAATTAAGTCTCCTTCATCCACATTATATTTTGACAAACACTGGACTCGACAACAATCGGAACGATGACCAAGCACTTATACATGTGACCTTATTCAAAGTCCAAGACCAACATGAGACACCACAATCTGGATTTATTCATTGATTATTATCTATGTTTTACTCGATTTATTTTCCATGTAGTTGCTATCAATTACCAAGATTATTATTATATCTAAGTTATAGTGATAATTTATCCATAGGTCGCTGGTCCATATCCGGCTCGAAGGACCAATGCGGAATCGCCACTTATTTTCCTTCAAAGACCTGGATTATAAAATGAAAACTTATTGAATAAAATGAAACTTATTTCGAAATCTTTTAGTTGCCATCAGAATGATTTTAATCAGTACATTACAATTTATCCAAGCGAGTGTAAGAGCGAGAGGCAAATTAAAATTAAATCTGTTGAGATTTTAACACGCGCAATGCCGATGATAGATGAATGAATAATTTTCACGACTCATTCTTTGTGATCGATCCAATGAAAGCAAAAAGCAATCGTTTACACAGAACCGGTTCAAAGAAATGAAACACAATAATTTACTTCGTATATTTAATACATGTATAAATTTTACTAATACATAACTATCACAACGTTTTAAATTGTTTTATATTTAAAGAGCACCAATATCTTTTATTAAATCATGCACACAGTGCGCATACATTGTAATTTTAATTTAATAAATTCGTATTTTGTATACTTATATGAATATGTATTTATGAGATTCCCACAGAATTGCCTTAAATAATTTGTTATAACAAAACTCTTTCATAATATAAATACAAATGAATATTAGTTTTATACGGTATTATTTATCATAATATAATCTAAAAATCGAAAGAAAACCAAACAAAGAATAAGTTAGTCACCGCCAATTACGGCTTGCAATGAGGATTTATCTTAAATAATATGAGATATAACTACTGATTTTAATATAAGCTACAAACCCTGTTTCGTATTTCTTAACAATGTTTAACGCGTTCGTGTATATAATAACATTGTCTGAGACAATATCCAATTTAAAATATAATAATACTAATTGCATATTGACATCGGAACTATAAGCAGACAGGTGAGAATACTAACACTGAAATATTTTTACAAATATTTTTTGTGTGAGGTTGTGACAGAAAACATTATTACTGATTCAACATTTTTGGTTTTCTTACGTGATTTTGAGGATAATTATCAATTACTTAATAGTACCATTAGATAACTGTTGCAGACATTAGTAAAAATAATAATTAATAACATATTAAAATGCAAATTATTGTTTATAAATTATTATTATTATTAGTACGTTGATATTATTATTGATAATCACTAAAAACTGTTACATTATAAGTAAATAAGAAATGCAATAAGGAATGTTGATGTTGTATGTTATTTGTGCAAAATCTTATATATTACATGTAAATAATTTCAACTAATTCATAGACTTTGTGGAATAACTAAACCTACCTACCTATATTTGGAGGGGGTGTTATCTCACATTTTCATAACTGTGGTCTTATATATTTTAACTACATAAATCGCATAAAATTAATCTAAAATATAATTAAAAAAATACTTTTAAAAAGCGAATAATTGCCAATAGAAATAACTTAAAAGCCAATAGAAAAAAATTACAACTTTTAATACTGCGTGAAGGAGGGAGAGACGGAAGAGATCTGAGAAAGTGTAAAAAAAATTTAATAAATTTTTGATAGGGAGTCCATTTTATTTTACTTCACCTCACATTTGTTAAAGCAATACAATTTTTCTACACTTTTATATAAGTAGTTTGATTTTAGATTATATATAGGAGATATAGGTAGATCGGATATCGAAATATTGTAATGTTGCCATATTTATTGGCATTTGTATAAATGGTAAGAAAAATATTGTTCACTACATCAAACAAATTATAACTGTTAAATTCGACATTAACTATACGTAATAAAATATATAAATGGAATAAAATATAACGCAATTATTAATTACGGTCGTTTATCGAAGATATATATTAAGGTAGTAATTATACATTCACCTCATTTGTGATGTAAGAATATTCAAAGTTTTAAGCTTTGTTCCCAATTTCAACTTTATTTAAATTCAGACAAAACACATTTTAAGATATTTACTGTAAAGCAAAATAATTATAGTATTTGCAAAAAAGCCTGCTGACTATAACAAAATTGGAAAGTTATCTTAAAGGCTAAGTTTTATAAATAATTTTTCGAATTAAAATGAATGAGTTACGCAGGTGTTTAGTTTTCGTTTTGATCGACGGCTTTCCACTCCCGATCAGATCTCAGCAGTACGATCTCGTCTTCGGAGTCAGTTTCAGAAGGCGGGACGTCATCGTCGTCGTAGTATGGCTTCTGGAGTAGATCTAGAGATGCGAACACGTGATATGAGAAACTCAATTAGTATTTTGACTACTAACTACTTAAATAAGACGTATCTAACAACACATTAAATGTAAAAATCCAGCAAACCGTTAAGGCTACACATCATGATAAACAAACATTATATATATATATATATATATATATATATATATATATATATATATATATATATATATATATATAATGCTGTGTTTCGTATGGTGAGTGCAGAGAACAGGAGACTCTTTTTATTGGAAACGAGGCATTCTATCTTAGTTTTCATGGATGACAACGCATCTGCATTTTGATTCGTAATCGACGATAACTGCGGATGTCTACGAGCCTCAGCATCCACTTACCATTAGATGGACTGTGTGCTCGTTTGTCACCCAATGCTATAAAAAAACTCCTACACTTAGCTTACTGATACGAGGCTGCCACTTGTGAAACCAATTTTCGACGGAATGAAAAACTTTCTCATAATTTAATATATGCAAATCCAAAATACGCAAGACAAAGTGGTAGATTGTACTGGTATGTGGTTTATGGTACTAAGGCATTTTCGAAACCAGCGTGTTCATGGTAGTCGTCAAGTTTACGTGCTAGACGATTCATGTGAATCGAAAATTACACGTAGATGTGACTCAGAAAGGTAATTTGGTCTGTAGTTCTTCAATAAGTGTTTAACATATTTGTCAAAGAAAACTATCACAATTCTTACTCCACATTACGTAGCACCATCTTGAGGGACGGGAATAAATAGCTTCTGAAGGACTTTAAGTACTCATATTGGTTCACCATTCGCTATCACAAGCTCTGCTTTAATTCCATCCTCACCGCTTTTAACAACGTTGTTAACAAGAGACTTGTGGACAAATCGGACACCTCCTTGAGGGAGATGGCCAGCCCGGTGATCGATTAACGAACGTGTATTTGGTTGATCCTGTAATTCTTGCGACCTGTAGCTGTAGAGGTTTGTGTATTTTGACTGCCTCGATGGTCTAGTGGTTGCAGTGGTGCGACTGCTGATCATGAGGTCCTGGGTTCAAATCCCGGGTCGGGCCAAAAAATTAATAATTGAGTTTTTCCGTCAAGAAATTCTCAGTAGTTGCCCGGAGTCAGGAAATTGGCGGTGTCTCACCCCGTGCCTCGGAAAGCACGTAAAGCCGTTGGTCCTGCGCCTGATCTCTCTGCCGGTCGTGTCGGTTTACCGTCCCATCGGATTATGAGAGTGAGGGAATAGAGAGTGCACCTGTGCTAGAGTATACACTTGGGCACTATAATCCTGTCCTGCACCGATGGCTAGCCTCCGTTGAGGCAGGCGGCCGTGACCAAAATTCGGTCTGGAGGACATTATTTAGAAAGCGACTCACCGTAAGACACGTTTTCGCATAGCGGCCGCTTGTCATCGTGCGGCAGGTGCGTGAACATGTAGTTGCGACGGTGATCGCGTGCGCGGCGCCGGCAGCCGTAGCACCAGGCTGCCACTGCCACCAGTGCCACGCCCACCACGCCTGCACAACCCCACTCATTACACACCACCACGATCCATTGAAGAAAATAATCGAGTAAATTAGCAAAGTAAATATACACGTTAATTTTCAAGTTAAATAATGTAATAAAAAGGCAAGTAATAGGCGAGTAAATAGGACAGTGAATAGTTAAGAGTAAATAGACAAGTAAATAAATTTGGCTAGGTTCAACATAACCTAAATTAAATAAATATTTATTTACTTCGGCTTTATTTGCTCTGCCTCGTTGGTCTAGTAATCGTAAATGCGTTTGCTGATCGTAAGCTCCCAGTTTCGAATTCCTACACAGTATTTATTGATTATATTAATTGAGGTTAAAAAATTATATTTTTCCCAACCGATTTAAAAAAAAGGAGTTTCTCCATTCGAGTGTATTTTTTATTCTGAAAATCCGGCTCGAAGGACCATAAAGATGTACGGAACACCTTTAAATGATGGTTGATATAGGAAAAAATGATTTTATTTAATAAATAATGATATTATATAATGCTATTGATAATGATATAGAACACGTCTACCGTGTTCGTGGAGAGGTCGGCTCGACCGGGGAAGGACCACATTCTCACAGAATACCAGCGTGAAATAGTAGTTTAATGCTGCTGTTTCGTATGTTGATTGTAGAGAACCGGAGACCCTTTTTACTGGAAACTAGGCATTCCATCTTAGTCCTCGCGGGTGACAACGTATCTGCATTTTGTAATCGTGGATAGATGTAGATGTCTATGGGCCGCAGCAACCACTTACCATCAGGTGGACTGTGTGCGCGTTTGTCACCTTATCCTATAAAAAAAATTAGGCATATCGTTAATTCTTTTGAAGTTATGTTCAAAAAATTATTTGTTACTAGCGATTCGCCCCGGCTTCGCACGGCTGATATCTAGATCTCGTCAACAGAACCATCTACCGGGTCCAATCGTGAGGGAGGGCCTATGTTCAGCAGTGGACTATTATAGGCTGTAGTGCATGGATGGTACACACTACACATGAGAATACTGACCAGACAACATTACAAAGACAAGTCGGGGCATCCCCAAAACAGTGTCGTCCCTTTCTAACTTGAACAGCACATTTGGGGTCAAGTTGCTATCGCTGTTAATCTGAAACAATAAATACATACAAGCTTAATGGTTAAAACAGTAATTTAAAAAAAATTCCACTGCGTTAAACAATTATTGAAAAAATTCTTCCCCACTATGTCACTCCCATAAATGAGGCGGGGCAGGTGGTGCTAAGATATCCGGTGGAGGTTCGGTTGCCACCTATGCTATGATGAATCGACCTGATAACACATAAAGCACGTACCCTGAGACCTGACAAGAAGATTCTAGAGCTGGAAGAAGAGATAGACAAGTTGCGCTGGGATATTATCGGATTATATGAGGTCTGAAGAAAGAAGGACGACGGTAATCCTCGAAACTGGCAAATTGTTCTATTAACGAGACAGCGACCATTGCTCCGGATTCAAGGATGTGTCGGATTTATTACGAATGGGGTAACGGAACCCAAGGGGCCAGCAGCTGGCCGACTTCATGGAGAAAGAGGGACTCTGTACGATGAACTCTTTCTTCCAGAAGCGGCCTTACAGGAAGTGGACCTGGTCAAGCCCCGACGGTTCGACAAAAAATGAGATTTACTTCGTTATGACGACTACACGGCAACTGTTCAGTGATGTCTCAGTGATCGCCAGGGTGAAAACTGGTAGCGATCACTGAATGGTTAGAAGCATACTGAACCTAAACGTCAAGTTGGAGGTCGGAGGACGTTGATTAAGGTTTTGTCTAATGAAGTCACCACTCCGTCCCCCTCGTGCTCTAATCCAAAGTCCCGAATACTTTCAGCACGAGTTACAAAACCGTTTTCAGTGCCTAGAGGTCCGAGCGAAGTTCTGTAAAAGCTGTCGCAGAACATAAAAACTCTCCACTCACACTCAATCTCATGGCTGTTAGATGGGAAATGAAGCTGCTATCTGCAGTAGATTTGACAGCACATCGTTTACTGAACAGACAGATCTCTCTCAGACTTACACAACTTCAATACAGCTAGTATTGAAGAAGCTATCGAGCAGAACCAGGGCTCCAAAGTCTTTGCCAGATATCTGTCTGCCAGAAAGAGTCAACTGTCGAAGCTGAAGACCGAGTGTGGCAGCATCATTTCCGCGATACCTGAGATTTCGAGTGAGATTGAGTTTCTATGGGCAGCTGTACAAGTCATTTTTAGTTTTTTTTTAAATGTATCAAATTGTTCGGACAAAATATAGGCTATATCCCTCCTTGTTCTTTATCTCTTTGTAAAATTTCGCCACAACCGGTTTAGCCAGTCCGAACATCAGCTCGTGCAGATAGACAGACAAATTAAAAAAATGCTTGTTTGTCTTAATAGCATGCCTCCTGAGCTTGTTAGACGCTAGTTATATCAATATCACAGACATTGCAAATTTATTTTTATGTATAGAAATTTGAATAAATAAATAATTCTACTCTATTCAATCTACTTACTTTGATATGTCTATTGAGAGTTATGTATCCATCGTGAACGACCGACATCGAGACCTCTCTGCCCATGTAGGTAACGGGCAGGGACAGAAGGAACCTCCCGGCTGCATCGGTGGTGTTGGTGACCAGCGGATGAATTGATGTCAAAGGCGTCACCGATATCTTAGCCCCAACCAGCGGTAGACTGTTGTAGTTCAGAGCGAGACCTGGAATCACAACACAACAAAGTCACCATTAGCAATTAAATATATGCCAAATTAGAAATTGAGTCAGAAGCTCATTGATTAAGCAGTCATAGTAAGTAATTAATACAAGCTTCATTAAAACAGGAATTGAAAGGAGCGCTAAAAGTCTTTTAACGTCGGTAATCCCATTGACAGGGTGAGAAATTGTGTGATAAGAGAAGAGTGTGGTTTGCAAGATGATGTTGTGACGAGGATTAAGAAAGGAATGGTTCGGTGGTTTGGTCATGTAGAAAAAATGAATGAGCAAAGAGTGCAAAGCAAATTTATGTTGCAGAAGTGAACGGCATAGTCGGTAAGGGACGTTCTAGGCGAAAGTTTATCGACCAAATTACCGATATATTGAAATTCATTAACTCTATTTGTAAAATATATATCATATATATGTATAACATGAATATATATAACATATATATCTGTTATGCATAATCTGATAGCTTATTTAATAAAGTTTCCACTGATATATGATTTTAATATACTTACTTAGATATATATATATATATATATATATATATATATATATATATATATATATTAACTATACTTCTTATATAGTTACTTAGTACTTCGGAAAGTGTTCGACAGATGCGCCAGATTGGCCAAAATGACCCCGACATTCGAGTGGTTAACCGACGAGCATGTATGCGTAAGTATATGGATGTGAAGGAGGCGAGAAAGGAGTGTTAGGATCGTGCCTAATGGAAGTCTGTAGTCTCTACCTACGCCTCTGGGTGACAGGCGTGAGTGATGTATGTAATCCCCTCCTTAAGGGCCTATACTACCTCAGCTCAAATTCTAATTTCACCCCCATTTCCCCGCGCGTGGTATGCTCTCTATCGATGTCGATACATATTTATGCCTGTTTCTTTACGCCAACCCAATCGCTTCTTATTTTTATTAAGGTTCCCCTTTTTAATTTTACGTCGTCATATATGTATTCTGATCGTAAGCGACACAGCTTTCCCGATAGAAAGCCGAAGCGAGACTAAGCGGAGTTATCGGGCGGCAGGGAACAAGCTTCAGGACGCCGATAGTTTAGGTAATTTCTTTTTACAGTGAAAATAGTGGTCATTAAAAAAATTAAAAACATAAGCCCTGCTTTATAGTTAGTATGCAGTTTCATGATCTAATTTAAAGTATTTTGTGAATACTAGCGGTTTATTGTTGGGTTAGGAGGTAACTTTGGATTTTTTTACTATCGAGAAAATTTTACGGAATAGTGTTTTCGTCTAACATAGTACTTAACATTAATCCTCAACTTTACCATATATTTATTCCTAAATTAATGCTGCAATATTTTCGACATAACGGAAAATCTTGCTAAGTCATTTGAGGTAGTATAGGCCATTAAGGCAAATATTCTCTGCGAAAGCCAAAATAGCCTTTCGTACATATCCAGTCGTTAACTTTTATGGGCTATGAATAAGACTGGAATAGCTATGATGGAAAAAGATGAGTGATGAGTTAGTTCACCGGTGATGTAGACGATGTTGGGGTTGTCGTCGATGGGCAGCTCGTCGACAGCAGCCAGGGGCCTGTGTTCTGCGTTGACGCGCTTCATCACGATGTCTTTCTGCTTCACCACGTTCTCCACCACGCGCCATGTCAGCATCTGCAAGGCAACAGTGACTCATGGGACAAATGACTTTTGTCTTAATACTACTTAGGCCGTATTCTGGCGGTATTCAGAGAATTTGACTGTATGTTTTTTTCTTAACTTTTTCAAATGGATGTTATGCGATATCTTCTTCATTTTTAAACGACGTTGCGACACATTTAATAACATGACTTTCTTGCTGGTTCTCACCAGGACAGAGGTTTTTTCCGAACCAGTGGTAGAGTAAAAATGACTTTCAATAAGAATTAATTTATACGTGGTAGAGCCACGCTGCAGCTATATCATCATGTTATGTTATGATTGTAGCAGCCTAATATTGCTGTGTTTCGTATGGTGAGTGTAGAAATCCGGAGACCCTTTTTTACTGGAAACGAGGCATTCCATCGTAGTACTCGGGAGTGACAACGCATCTTTGTTTTGATTTTTAATCGAGAATAAATGTAGACGTCTATGGGCCACAGCACCCGCTTGCCATGGACTGTGTGCTAGTTTGTCACCATTATTTCATAAGAAAAAATTACACGTAATTTATATTAAATAAAAAATATTATTAGGATTATGATATTCCTTAGTTCGCTAAATACGGTAAAAATTACTTTTAATAAAAATTAAAAGCTTCCAGGCCAGACACTCAAACGTTACTCAATTTTAAGATGTCGTTAAGACGAGGCATGACCCTAAACGCAAGTTTTATAATGCCTCAAAGTATATGATCCACTGCAGTAAACAAACCCAGAAAAATATACGATATTGTCCAGGATATATGCTAGTTAGATAGTGTGTTGAAAACATGATACCACTAATTTAATACGATAGAAAAAAATCACAAACATACCTCTAAAAATTTCTTTTAACTAGTAAAAACCATACTAGTATACATGCAATCATTCTGATTTTTTGTCAGATTTTTATACATTCAACATATTAACGTTATAATGTTTTAATTTTTTAGTCCAACTAATAGTTTTTTTTTAAATCGCATATTCCTATTTCTGAAATAATACGTACGGATGTTTGCGTAAACGCCTGTGCAGTCACTGCCGGCCGAGGCCTGGTGCTGTAGAGACGTGTCGCTCTTTTTGCCGCAGTATTTACGTAAAGATTTTTAAAGGACGCGTTTACAAAATTGATATCGGTATAGATCGAACTATTACATTGACATGAGTCACGCACACAAGTGTACGCACGGTTGGCTGCGGGAATCGTAGTCACATAAAATTCTTTTGATAATTTGAAAGATCGAATTTGTTTTTGATTTCTTACACCTCAAAAATATACTTAGATACATAGAGTAATTAGACTTAGTTACGAAATACGAATACCTACTCTAGAGACTGCTTTGCACTGGGAGCCCTCTGCTGGCACTGAGAAGTTAGCTGTGGACTTTGGGCTGGTTTTGTCAGTTATGATAAGACCTTACCTCTGGAGTTGGTGGAGTGACCTGAAAGTGAACTTCAGTAACTAATACTGGAACACCTGGACTAGTAGAACTAGGTGTGCCGAGTTTGGGCTCGACCTGTTCCAATGCCGATTACCAAAGTACACCTTCAGGTCACTCCATCAAGTCCGGAGGTAAGGGCTCGTCATACCTAACAAAACGTGACCAAACTCGGCACACCTGGTAGTACTCAGCGACCAGTTCCAATACCGATTACCAAAGTACACCTTCAGGTCACTCCGTCAAGTCCGGAGGTAAGGACTTATCATACCTAACAAAACGAGCCCAACCTCGGCACACCTAGTAGTACTCAGCGACCTGTTCCAATGCCGATTGCCAAAGTACACCTTCAGGTCACTCCGTCAAGTCCGGAGGTAAGGGCTCGTCATACTTAACAAAACGAGACCAAACTCGGCACACTTAGTAGTACTCGGCGACCTGTTCCAATACCGATTACCAAAGTACACCTTCAGGTCACTCCGTCAAGTCCGGAGGTAAGGATTCATCATACCTAACAAAACGAGCCCAACCTCGGCACACCTAGTAGTACTCAGCGACCTGTTCCAATGCCGATTGCCAAAGTACACCTTCAGGTCACTCCATCAAGTCCGGAGGTAAGGGCTCGTCATAACTAACAAAACGAGGCCAAACTCGGCACACTTAGTAGTACTCGGCGACCTGTTCCAATACCGATTACCAAAGTACACCTTCAGGTCACTCCATCAAGTCCAGAGGTAAGGTAATAGAAAACAGTAAAATAAATTTGTATTTTCTAATGGTTTTATTGGAAACTATTCTTTTTCTCTTATTTTAGCTATTTTGCCAACGAAACTTGGGGTTTTTTTAGAATTTGTGAGTTGGCATTTTAAATGTTTATGTATGTAAATAATAAATAATAATCTAAGTACCTGCTCATATCATAAAACCGACTTTAAAAAAATATTGATAATTAAAATGTGGTATGATGTACAGACTACCGATATTGTAAACAGTTTTGATATTAGTGAGTAGGTACTCAAAATATTATTACTATAATACCTAGTAGTGTTGAGAACAGTAGACCTCACGGAAAAGTTTTTGTTTGGAGGTGAATCGTCTGCTTGCTTTGCGCAACTGTGTTCACGCGGCGCTCTCCGACAGCCGGTTGCGCTCCGCCCACTGCGGGACGCGCGGGTGAAAAACGAATTTGAAATCGTGCTAAGACCTCGTCTTAAGTATCATGGTGTCACAGTCCCTTTGACTTAATAATAATAACAATAACCAAATTATGGATGATGGAAAAAAAGATAGTGCGCAAAGAGCCGCTGCCTGGAAGTCGCCAGGGCGCGTCTGGAGCTGGCGCTGGACGCGACAGCATGCGGGCCGCCAGCCAAGCGCGGGGTGTCAAGACCACCTAGCAGCCCTCCGCATCCATCATCCCCACCAGAAGGCTTGGTGTCGGCTGGGTCTTCTCGGACTCAGCAAGCGGCACCCGCCGCTGGTGGAGCACGTCGCATGCGTTGGTCAAAATTAATGAACGCAAACGCACTGCCGGCGTATTTTAGGGCAAAAGGGGAAGAAACTGGATGTTTGGCGTATCGGGCTCGGATGCATCGCTTTTTTGCAGAGCTGGAGCCATCTCTATCCGTCACTGAGCAAAACCTGGCAGACCGAGTTCGGTACATCCTGCGCTCCAACATATTTGGTGACGCCGAACTCGATCGACTACGACGTGAGGCTATTCTTTCATCGAATGGAAGTGCTACGGCTGGGAATGCGGCGCCACTAGATGCGCAACAAACTGCATATGTGGATGCTGCCGTCAACATTCCATTTGTGGCTAATTCAGACGATAATGGAATAGTCTCCCACGAACTAGAGAAAATGAGGAATATATTGGAAGAGTCGATGCTGGAAACGCGCAGCATGCCTCTCGAAAATCGACCGCGACTTTCCCGCATACCCCTTAGCAAGCGAAATCGGGCTATCGTGCGGGCTCTTAACCCAATGCTGGTGACCTATTTGGAAGCCAGCCGGGACCTTTGCGAGACGGACTCAATTCTTTTTGGCGCCGCACTGGCAGTATGCCGTATTATTGGCGCCAAACTTCCCGTGGCTGGACAAGCTACTCAAAGAAGTGGCGCCATCCCAGCCTGGAGAAAAAGAATTGAGGACCGTATCGCAAAGGCAAGGGCCCTTATCAGCAGACTGACAAGCTTCAGGTCGGGTAATAATAGACCGAGAGTTGTGCGCACCGTTAGAATGGCATTTGCTGGGACAAATATTACTTTGTCCCAGCCGGATATCACGCAGAAACTAACGGAGCGCATAGATGACCTGAAGCAAAAAATCGCTGCTTGGGGGAAGCGGATTCGACGATTTAGCGAGAGGTCAAGGCGGTTCAACCAGAATCGTCTCTTCCAGAGTGATCAGAAGAGGCTCTATAAATCATTGGAGCGACCAGAGGTATGTGGAGCGGGCCCAGGACCGGATCAGGCTGACACCGTCGCATTTTGGCATGGCCTGTGGTCAGAGCCCGTAAACCACAGCAAGGGCCCTTGGATGGAAGTTGTGGCGAGCCAGAGTGCAAGTGTTACGCCTATAGACCCCGTCACCATAACGCCTGAAGACGTGGCTGAGGCGGTCCGTAGGGCCCCGAACTGGAAAAGTCCGGGGCTCGACGGGCTGCATCATTACTGGCTGAAGGGGTTCGTAGTGTGTCACGCTGTGCTCGCGCGACAGTTTCAAGAGGTTCTCGATCAGAAGTCGCTCCCGAGCCTCTTCACTACTGGGATCGCTCACTTGGTTCCTAAAGATCAGGATACCACAGACCCGAGCAAATACCGCCCCATCACGTGTCTACCCACCATATATAAGACACTGACATCCATTTTGAGCGCGAGAATCACTCGTCACCTGGAGTTAAATCAGGTGATGTCACGCGCTCAAAATGGATGTCGGGGTGGTGGTCGTGGAACAAAGGAATCACTCCTCATTGACGCGTGCTGAACCAACCCGAATTTCTCCGCGGCCTGGATAGATCAAAAGCATTCGTTCGCACAACAAAAAACGACAAAAGATCTGGGAGACGACAAAAGGAACCCATCGGAAAAAAAAAAAGAACCCCAGCACAGAAATCACTTGTGAATTTAGCAATTCTATTGGAATGGAGCTGGGGACGGATAAGTGTGCGGTCCTTCATGTTGAAAGGGGAAGGGTTGCTAACTCTTTATTTATTTATTTATTTAATAACAACCTTTTTTACATATGTTCATTTATTCCCTGGTCCCTGAGCTAGTGTAACTGTGTTTCAGGAACCAGTTCCTCCCCTTAAAGTTAGCCTTGTCAAAAGGTCAATTTCTATATAATAATAATAATTTAGTTATTTAGTAAGTTAAACAAGTACAGAAATATAAATAAGAAATAAAAATAATGTTATTTTAAGCGCTTGTTTTGTGTGTGTGTATGTGTGTGTATGTGCGCGCATGTGTGTATGTGTTCGTGTGTTGGTGTGTATGTAAGTGTGTGAGTGGGTGTGTGTGCTTTGGAATATATGTGTGTGAGTATTGCTTGTGTT